GTGCACACACATGTGCTCTTTCTTGTGTGTGCACACACATGTGCTCTTTGCTTCTTTTTACTTCATAGCGAAAACCAAATCACTAAGGCAATTGGACTGTAAAGTCCTTTCTTCTCAGCATCTGTAAACAGGGTTACTGTGTCTCTCAGTATTATTTTATGTGTCTGAGCATTTGCTTGCATGTATGACTGTGCACGTGTGTCCCACCACTGGAGCTTAGAAGAGAGGATCAGATCTTCTGGAATAGGAGTTACAGGAATTGAACCTAGGTCCCGAGCTGTCACTCTAGCTCAAAAAAACTATCAAATAATATCCACAATGACCAGTTCTGGCTAGTGCACAAAAGGGAACCAGCCCTGAACAGAAATTGCCATGAGCTTATATAGTTTCATACCCCCAAGTTACACGTCGAGCAACGAAACATGTTTTACAGAGACATACATCCCAAGGCTTGCTTGTTTGGACGGATGGAGGAGATTTACAGTACAGAATTTTTATTGTTAGTTATCCTGAGACAGATCAGGGCTGCTTTTCCCAGGTGGCTGTTCACCATCCTGCCTACCTGGCAGAGTTGTCTTCTTCCTGGGAGAGGCATATGTCTTAATTATCGATTTTAGCCAGGGTTATCTTCTCTAAACTGCCTGTCAGCACCATACTCCATTAGCTAAAAATGTAACTTGGGATAACATAGTATTTTGTAAGCATGTTTGTTGGTCAGTCTTCTGTAACATGTGTATGTCACACCACTTGTCATTGAGAGGCCCGCTCCTAGGGGTCTCATGCCTGGTGATGCATTAAGGTTCTGTGGCAGGAGCTAGGTTCCAGCCAGTAAGTGAAGTCCTGCATATGTGTGTCTTTGCTCCTACAGGACAGTAACAGCCAGGTGGCAGGTGGTGGCGTGTCTGTGTACTACTCACACGTGTTACAGATGCTTTTCTTCAGCTACAGTCAGGGCAAGTCCTTTGCAGCCACTGTCAGCAGGAGCACTCTGGAGGTGTTGCAGCTCTTCCCCATCAACATCAAAAGGTGAGAGAGGTGCTGGCCTTCCAGATAGCCTTGCTCAGCGGGCCTTTCTGCCTTCCCTTCTCATCCTCATCCCTCTCCTCTCCAGTACTGCTTCCTGCACTGCTTGTACATGCCAACTTCCATCTTTAAAGACAAATAGTCACCATGGTTGGCAAGCCTGCTTGCTTGTTCTTTACCATGGAGACCCCAGACCGTAAGAGGTAGCCTTTGCAGGGCAGGGGAGTTTGCTGTTACACAGAAAGAAAACAACCTGTAGTCAAGACTTTTAACCATTACCGGATTTGAAGGAGGAGACAGTGTAGTCGAGCACTCACCCTGTCCTTTCAGTTCGCCTCTCTGAGAAGCTCACACTTCCTCTGCCCCATTGGTAAACAGGACATGGCATCAGTCTTGGTGGGATGGCTAGAACTGGGCAAGTAAGGACATTCGTCAGCTTTCCTGATGCTAGAGATGGGAAGAAGGGGTTGAGAGTCTCTTCTGCTCCTTAGCCGCCACTGAAGAGCTATTTCAGATCTATAGAATGAACCTGGTTTTCATTAAGGGTCAAATGGACAGGAGAACCGTAGCATGCCTTCCATCTTACGCAGCCTTGTGTAGTTAATAGACTTGAAAGCTCACCGATTCTGAGCAGCAAAGGTTCCGTGAGGACTCTTGGGGCATACATTCAGTGATGGTAGCATGCACCTGGCTCATAGTAAACTAACCCAGGGCACATCTGAACTCTTGGCCAGGGGTTCTATTTTGAGTTACATAGGGCAGTTTTGAGTTTTTTGGTTTTTTGACTTTGTTTTGATTCTCTGTGGATTTCACATCATGTTCTCCAGTCCCACTCATCTCCCTGCCCCTTTGGATCTGCCCTTTGCCCTTGTAACGTGCCCCCCAAAAGAAAGCAAAAGGAAAAAAACCCAAAGCAATAATAACAAAAGCATCTCAGTGCGAAGCTGCCGTGTGTCCCACAGCACACCCTTTGTCCACACATCTCTTGCAAATGTTCATTGCAGTGAGTCGTTGATCTGCCACTCCAGGCTTCTGCCTTCTGCTGCCCCAGCAATGCTGGGACCTTACTGGGACTCCTCCGATAACCTGTTGTTGCTTTATGTCATGGAGCCCCTTCATGCACTCCAGCAGTTCATAGGTGGGGTAGATGTTGGGGCAGGCCAACTCAAAGCCCTGCATCTGGGCCTGGGTGGTAGCTGGGTTGGTCAGAATGCCAGCTCTCCTACACCTACACCACAAGGGCAAGTTCACCAGCAGTGCCCCAGGCTAGCTCACCCAGTGCTGTAGCTTGCAAGGGCCAAAGCCAGCCCTCTTGCTTTCTTGTCGTGTGGTGACTCCAGCTCCACTGTGCTGCTCAGGTGACAAGTAGTGAGGAGGAAGCCAGGGATGGCTGTGGGGGTGGGGTTGGAGAGGAAGGCATTTGTCCCTCGTTCATGCCCTTGGGGCTGGCTCTGCTGTGCTAGGACAGTCTTTTAAAGAAAGAACTGGACAATGAGGAGTGACACTGTATCCGCTTTGGGTGTCTGCAGCTCCAATGGTGGCAGTAAGACTTCTCCTGCCCTTTGCCAGTGGTCTGAGGTGATGAACCACCCTGGCTTGGTGTGTTGTGTTCAGCAAACTACTGGCGTGCCTCTGGTGGTCATGGTGAAGCCAGACACTTTCCTCATCCAGGAGATTAAGACTCTTCCTGCCAAAGCAAAGGTCAGTGCCCTCTCCCCAGGGTTCCTAACCTAAGAATCTGGGCCGTCTCTGGCGGTTGGAAAAGAGTTTTCCATCTCTGTATGGTGGCACAAGTCCATAATTCTAGCCCTTGGGGAGGCTGAAGCAGGAGGCTGAAGAGTTTGGAGGCCAGCCTAAGCTCCATGTTGAGCCTCCATCTCAAGAAACAAAGTGAAAGCTGTCTCTCTATAGGTGGCGCCTTTGCTGCCCTTTGCTGCCTTTTGCACGTGGGCCCTCTGTGGGGCCTGAGCCACATGGGTGAGAACTGATTCCCTCCCTCTCTCCCTCCCTCCCACTTTGTCCTCTCCTCCTAGATCCAAGACATGGTTGCCATCAGGCACACTGCCTGCAATGAGCAGCAGCGGACAACCATGATCCTGCTGTGCGAGGACGGCAGCCTGCGCATCTACATGGCCAATGTGGAGAACACCTCTTACTGGCTCCAGCCGGCTCTGCAGCCCAGCAGTGTCATCAGCATCATGAAACCTGTGCGAAAGCGCAAAACAGCTACAATCAGTAAGGCCCCCAGAACTCTATGGGCATGGGCTCAGCAGTCTCCTATACAGTGACAGAGTAGGCCCTGTGCTGGTTAGAACTGGCTTTCCTGCCTTTGTACTTGATGAGGTCAGAGGTCAGTCCTAGCCCTTTTTCTGAAGTAGGCCCTTGTGGCACCACTGCTTGCTGCCCACTTTGAGCCAGCTGTTCTAGGTGTCCCATAGAGCGCTGTCTCAGCTTTGGCTTTTCTCTGGGGTCAGGGAAGGTGGTTTCCCTGTGTGTATGACTGCTGGAGTAGCTTCCTCCAGCTGAGCAATTTCCAGCAGATAGTGTGGACATGAAAAGTTTTGCTGCTGGCTGGGAGAGTACTCTTTGAAGAAGGGGAAGCATGATGTTTAGGAATGGTCCTGGCTGAGTGATTGCAGGCATCATCACATTTCCTTACATTTGTTCTGGAGTTTCTGTGTTCGAGATGAGGATGTAACTTACTGTACCGTAAAGAAACAGATTCTGTTGTGTTGTAAACTGTCCAGTCCATACTGATACCAGGTTTTATGTAGTGGGTCACATGGTTAGGGATGGGATGCTGGAGAGCTGACCTCGAGTAATCATCATAATAGAGTCCCGTTTGGTTAGAGCAGAGAGTGTCAGCACGGGCTTAGTCTTGAGCTTTGGAGTGAGAGCCGACGTGCTGAGACTGTACATTAATGCTCTGTGGCAATCTGGTCCTGTACCCACAGCAGCCCGCACATCCAGCCAGGTGACGTTCCCCATTGACTTTTTTGAACACAACCAGCAGCTAACAGATGTGGAGTTTGGTGGTAACGACCTCCTGCAAGTCTACAATGCACAGCAAATAAAGCACAGGCTGAACTCCACCGGCATGTATGTGGCTAACACCAAGGTGAGCAGCATGGGGGCTGGCTCGCTTTGTGGGTGGCACTCTTGTTGTTGAACAAGGTGTGCCTGTCTCCTCAATAGGAGGGTTGAACCCAGGGCCTCGCACATCCAAGGCAAAGAGGCCTCTCACCATCGAGAGGTCGGGCTGACTGCACATCCTCCTTTAGAATCAGACATAGAATATGTCCTTGAAATTGCTCACTTCTGGTCAAATGATCCTTGAGTAAATCAACTTTCTTTTATGTGCTGAAGGTCTTGAGTCCCCCAGGCTAATTTCCCACCACTGTTTAGAAGGGTTCTTGAGCACAGGGTACCATTTGATCGTTGGAGCTTCGGGGAGGAACCTGGCATTCTCCCTCTTGGATCTGTTGTGACATGATCAGGATGAAGTTCAAAGAAATTAGGTCTTACCCAGGTAGCCATTGAGGGGATATGGAAGAAAAGCCCCTGGAGATTTTTTGACTGCTCTTTTTCCGCAGCCTGGCGGCTTCACCATCGAGATCAGTAACAACAGCAGCACCATGGTGATGACGGGCATGCGGATCCAGATTGGGACTCAGGCCATCGAGCGGGCCCCGTCCTACATCGAGATCTTTGGCAGAACCATGCAGCTTAACCTGAGCCGCTCCCGCTGGTTTGACTTCCCCTTCACCAGAGAGGAAGCCCTGCAGGCTGACAGGAAGTTGAACCTCTTCAGTGAGTCAGCCACCCATGGCAGGCTGGAGCCTTCTCATGTGACTAGAACAGATGACCACTAGGTGGCCCTCTACTGCTAGGGAGGGATTCCCTGCTGGACTTAAGTCTCCTTTTATTGGAAGTGTAAGAGGCAGGGTGCCAGGAAAGGAGACTGGTTTGTTTCCTTTCTGTGGCACTGGGAATTGAACCCAGGACTTTGCATATTAGGCAAATGCTCTACCGCTGAGCTATATCACCAGCCATCTTTTAGCTTTTTATTTTATTTTTAAACAGTCTCCCATTCTATAAGCCAAACAGGCATTGAACTTGGGGTCCTCCTACCTTAGCCTCTTGAGTATCTGGGGTTACAGGTACAGTAATAACCGTTAGAGCTGCTAAAAAGAATAGCTATGTTGTAGAGAGAGGCAGGCACAGCTAGCTGTTCTCCTGGAGTCGCCTTAGCCTCATCAATGGAGTCTTCCATGCCAGAGGAGGCAAGACTGATTGATAAAATCAGGAGGCATATGCTCTATCAACTGAGCTATATCCCTGGCTCAAAGCTTCATTCATTCATTCATTCATTCATAGACAGGGTCTTGAGTATTCAAGGCTGTCCTTGAACTTACTGTATAGCTGAGGCTGACCTTGAACTTCTGCTCTTCCTCCCTCTGCTTCCTGAGTTCTGGAATTAGAGGCATGTGTCACAATGCCAGTTTATGTGGTCTTAAGGTTGGAACCCAGCCAGCACTCCGCTAAGTGAGCTGAATCGCTGGCTCCAGGCTTTCTTCACGTGTTACGAGACTGTGTGCTCTTTGTCAATTACTGGCCACTTAGCTGAAGTCCCTTCTCCCAGAAATAGTTGCTGTTTATGTGGATGGTGATGACCTGTACTCCGAACAAGGAAAGTGCTTAGCGATCCTTGGAAATAAGGAGGTGGCAGGTAGAACACAAGTGGGCACCAGAGGATCCTTTAGTGATGGTTAGGGTCTCTCCCAAGGAGGAGACATCAGACTGTGGTCCATCCAGCTGTCCTGTGTACTGAGCCGTGGCTGTACCTCAAGTGTCTCTGAGCAGGCACAGCTTTCAGAGTTTATGAGGCAGATGTGGTTTGCACCTGTACCTGATTGTTCTGCCTTGCCTTGGAAGGGTTCTGTGAGCTCTTGGGAAGTATGCTTCCTAAAGGCTTCTCTTGTTTATTGCAGTTGGTGCCTCTGTGGATCCAGCTGGTGTCACCATGATAGATGCTGTAAAGATTTATGGCAAGACTAAAGAGCAGTTTGGCTGGCCTGATGAGCCCCCAGAAGACTTCCCTTCTGCCTCCGTCAGCAACATCTGCCCTCCTAACCTGAACCAGAGCAATGGCACTGGAGAGAGTGACTCAGCCGCTCCAGCTACAACCAGTGGCACTGTCCTGGAGAGGTACCAGTGCTGACAGGGTTTGGTTCTTGACTGTTTGCACTGGCTGCAGAGCCTCCTCTGTGTCTTGAGTCTCCCAAGCTAGTCTGTGATTGTCAAATTCTCAGTCCCTGGAACATTCAGTTTCTCTGATATGTACATAGAGAGAGCCTGGGGAATGGGCTGAGAGGTGTTTGATGCTGGGTCTCTGTCCTGGCAGAAGCTTGGTCATTTACTTACTGTTCCATAATCGTTTGGAATAGCCACAGTCTGCAGTCTAGAAAGTGCCTACACTTATGCTCTAGATTAGGATCCAGACTGAAACAACAGCAAACATCCTCCCTCTGTGCCAATTGCATCATCTTCTTGTCTTTCTCTGTGGAGGTTGCTACTCTGTGGTAGTAACACTGCCAGCAAGAGAGGCTGCTGCAGCATCTTACAGGAAAGGGCAGTGTCCTTAGACCTCCCTCCGGTGGCATACGGAAGCACGTGCTCAGCTTCTCTGTGCTAGCTGGCTGCTGGTTTGCCATGGTAGATGGAGCAGACCCTGATGTAAGAGTGAGCGTCTTACATTGTAAGCCCCGAGGCAGCCGGCTGTGCTTGGAGTCACTGCACCCCACCAGCAGCCTCCCCACTTCTGCCTTTCTCCCTGCCCCCATTCATATATCGTTTGCTTAGGATGTGTTTCTAGGTTTCTCTGAGCTTCACATTTTTTTTCCTTTTTTTTTTCCCTTTGCTTCTCCCCCCAAGTTCTGAAACTGAGTCCCTAACCAAGCTGGATCGGTTAGTATGCCCTGTTTCTTTTCTCTGCACGAGTGCGTGTGTGTCAGAGAGCAGCGTCCGCATTGTGGCTTTGCGCTGATTTGCTTCTGTTCCAAGTCCTGCTACTTTCTGTTCTGGTCGTTGCATGGCTGCAGAGCTCTCCATGTGTAAACTGGAGCCTACCCCGGACTGTGAGCACACCCTCGGTGTTGGCCACATCAGCCTCTTGGCTCTGTCTTCCTTAATCCCTCCTTGCTGCACATTTTGTACAACGGGTATGAAGGGATGGGGCAGAGGGGTGAAATGCCCCCGCCAGTTCCATAAGCCCCTGGAGCCCGTTCCACTTCCCTTTATCCTCCCTCCGCCTCCGCCATCTTCCCTTGGTGCCCTTCTTTCCCCTGCCCCTTTTCACTCTGGCTACTTTCTCAGTGCTTTCCTTTCCTGTCCAGACCCCAGCTGTCAGGATGTTGGTCATTTTTACTATGCCACTTAAACCACAGCAGTAAGCCCAGAGCATGTTATCTGATAGATACTGTTTAATGGCTAGACTTCCTGCTTCTTCCCTAATGGAGAAGTTCCATGTTCTAAACTTGCTTTGTACTACCCTTTGAATGTTCCAGTGGCATGCATCTAAAAATAGTTTGTTTGCTCCTGTCCTGAGAGCCCATAGGGGAATGCCTGTGTGCATTTTCCTGGCTGTGTAAGCAGAAGCCTAACCTTAACATCGCCAGTGTAAACAGATGGCTTTAACATCTCCCTTGTGCCTCCCTTTGCCCACTGATCTCTGAGCACCTGAGCTTCGGGCACTGCTGCATCAAGACTTAAGCCCACCTCAGGATCCCTGCCACAGGCAGCAGAAGGAAACACATTTATCCTCTTTGAGGAAGAAAAGCCCTGCTGCCTTTGAGTGGCGGATTATGAACATGGCCTCAGGTTGATCTCCGAGCAGGAGCCAGGTTTCTGTGGCCTGGAACACAGGCAGCGATATGCAGGCGCCTGTGGCAGGTCTTATTGTGCTTTGATTTTTATATTTGGCATTCGGTAGCTGTCCCCAAGGTCCTCCCAACTAGAGCTTGCCGGCTGACACGAGGCAGAGACAGTACTTGTACTCAGGCCAGCCTTTCTGTCTCCTCAGGCTGGTTGTGAGCTCTTTGGAAGCCCTGGAAAGCTGCTTTGCTGTTGGCCCAATCATTGAAAAGGCAAGTGATTTCTTCAAAGCACACGGGAGCTTTCTGAAGAGGCAGGAAGTAGGGTTGTTGACTGAGGCCTCCTGCCTTGGAGCGGAAGAATTCTGACACAGTCTTGATGTGCGAAGCGTCTCTGAGCTGCTGCACCTGTGTCGTATGAGGGTTCAAGTTTAGAAATCTTCTTTTCTGCTCTTTGTAGTTAGTGGTGGGTAACCTAGCTGAGCTGGCCTGGAAGGCAGGAGGGAAGGGCAGATAGAGAGCACTCTGCGATGCCTTGAGGTGCTGAGTGATAACCCTGCTGTCTTTCATATCAGGAGAGAAACAAGCACGCAGCCCAGGAGCTGGCCACTTTGTTGCTCTCCCTGCCAGCACCTGCCAGTGTCCAACAGCAATCAAAGAGCCTCCTGGCCAGCCTACACAGCAGCCGCTCGGCCTACCACAGCCACAAGGTAACCGCTCCCTCCCTGGGAGACTTATAGGAAGGGAAATTGTCCTGAATGACGGAGAATCCAATGAGTTGGCTCTCTGTCTATAAAGTAAGGGCCTAATGGAGTAAGCACGAGGAGATTACTGAGATTAGAGTCCCGGGGTTCTTCTGAGACGCTACCCTAGACTGAGAAAGCCATCTAATGGGCCACTGGCATGTGGCTTTATTTTTCTATCCCTCTTAGGAGGATCAGCAAGTCTTACAAAGGAGAGTGAGTGTGGGCAGCTGATTGTTGTGCGAGAGAGCGAGGGTCAGGGTTGTGCCATAGGCGGTTAATGTGCTGGTGTTCCGAGCCCTCAACTGTGGCCTGGGGCGGCAGGCCCACAGGGGTGGCAGGTGGTTGTCGGATGGGGGTTATTGTTGGTCCCAGAGACTCTCCTACAAAAGCCAGTGTCTGCAGAAGGAGGTAAGCTGGGCCACATGGCACCATGGGAAACATGGCGGTTCAGACCAGTAGGAAGAAAGGTGCTGGGGGGTCACTGCCAAGCCTATCTTTTGTGCCTCTGTCTTTTAATAGCAAGAGATGAGTTCAACTTGCCAAGGAAAGGTTGTTTTCAAAGCATTATCCTTGGGTAAAGGCCCTGCTGAGGGATGGGTGAGTCTGCCAGAGGAAGTGACTGGCTGCTGCAGTTCTGTTGGCTGAGTGGATGCTAGCTTTCTGTTGGACTGCGAGACTGTTATGTGGCTGGAGACTTTTATATCAGGCAGTCGAGCGTTGGGCAGCCTGAAGGTTGGTTCTGATGGCTGGTTGACAGTTCTTGAGAGGAATAACCAGCCCTCTGTGCTTTAGTGCCCTACTTTTGCTTATGGTTGACTTTCTGTGACCCGCCTGTTTTATAGGACCAGGCCTTGTTGAGCAAAGCTGTGCAGTGTCTCAACACATCCAGCAAAGAAGGCAAGGACTTGGACCCTGAGGTGTTCCAGCGCCTAGTGATCACAGCTCGCTCTATTGCCGTCACGCGTCCTAACAACCTAGTGCACTTTACGGAGTCAAAGCTGCCCCAGATGGAAACAGGTGAACTTAGCCTCATGGCCATGGTCCTGACACCCGCTCACTGCACCTCTGCTCTCCGTCACGCTCTTCCTGTTCTTGTTGGCTCTGACAATGGATAATTGTTCCCCATTTGCTTGTTTGTTTGTTTTGTTTAACCTTGTAGGGCCTCTGACCAGGCCTTATTTTAACTAAATTGACCATCGTTGAATTTAGTTAGTGTTCTGAACCCCAGCTGGTCTGTTGTGAGGTTGTTATGGGGAAAACTAAGCTTAGTTCCACCCTGGAGTCACAACAGAAATGTGACAGGGAGTGGGATTTTTCTTGTTTTAATCACTTTGTTTAGGGATGCAGAAGGTCAGACCCTTGGGTGAAGCTAAGCTTAGTTTTGCCCTAGTACCTGCAGGCCGGGTGCTGCCCTCTGCATGCTGCTGCA